CCCCCCCCCCGGCATACAACAGGACGCGTACTGCCTCGCGGGACGCCTGGCCGACCTCAACAGCGGGGCTGCCTTCGAGGGAAGCCTCATCGCAGCCCTCCGGTACTACGAGCGAGTTCGCAAGCCCGACACCAGCCTGGTGCTCGCCAAGAGCGCCTTCGTCGGGGCGGTGGAAACCCTGGGAGGGGCGGCGGGGGGCGGGGCCGTGGGAGAGGCGTTTCGCGACAACTTTTTCTTCGGCATGTGGAAGGCCGGGGTGGCGGAGCAGATTTTCATGGACGGTGCTATGCCCAAGGTTTAGGTTGGTGTGGGCTTGAAAGGGACAGGGGGGTGGAGATCAAGCGAAAGAGGTAGAGGTTGCCGTTTGTTTCCTTCTGAGTCGACGCGGGGTTCGGTTTCATTTTCGTTTCGTCGTTGTTGTTGTTAGAGGTGTTCGGTGGCGGTCATGTGTGTTGCGTCTTGATGCTTTTGTTAAACAACAGAGAAAGGATCGCGTATTCAGGTGCAAACAGTCGCGTCGCTTCTCTCCGAGCCAGACCCAATGGTGGTGCTGCTATAATGTAGAAAGGATCGGGGCGGGGTGTAGCGGAGAGGGTAAGATTTGGTCTCAGATGTGCTTGTAGAATAAGGTGGCACTCATTCGGAGTCCGCGCTTGTAGAAAAAGTGGAACTGCTGCTTGTCGATGCCCTTAGAAGCGGGATACCGGCTGGCGGGGGGTGGGTGCTTACAACAGGTTGGTTGGCTTGCGCAAGCTTTCAACCACTGCTGCTGCTGCTTGCTGCTGCTGCTTGCTTGTGTCGTAACGGCTGCTGCCGTGTCTTCGCCTTTACTCGCAGAATTTTAGAGTGACCCGCTTGTTACTTCGCTGGAAAATTCTCAGCTTCAAAATGTTGGCCGTGCGCTCTGTCTTGTGTGTTCGTCTGAATAAAAATTGTAAGGAGTCTCATTGGAGTGGCCATTGTTTCCTCTTATCCTGAGGTCTGCACACAAGAATTGATTTCTTTGTAATCTTCGCCCATCGTGCATTGAACAAATGGGTGCGAACATGCGCTGTTTTTTTCGATCCAACCAACATTACGCAAAACAGATATGTATGCATATAGGTGCATTGACAGTACGTCGTTGCCTCGATTTTTTTTTTTTGGCGTCGTCGATAGGATCGAGCCGAAGACGTCAACCGCCCAGCTCCAATAACCGCTTCAAACAGATATCTACAGACGCTGTAGCATACATTGAACTGTTCTTGCTCATCATCACTTGTGCTGGTAGTCCATTACAGTAGAACAGCGATTTTCGTAGTGTCTGATATGAAGTACTAGCTCGTATGCGTATGTACGTACTTCGCACTTTCACGTGATTGTACTGAGTAGGTTAAGTAGCAGGCGGTACACGGACAGCAGCAGTACAAGAAGCGTAGGTTCGTGCGCCAAACTCGCACTTCTTCTGCCGCAACCGCTTCCGATAAGAGTACACAACATGAGTAGGTGCATCCCCATCCCGCCTTGTGGCGATGAGAGAGAGGGGGAATGGTTGACGCACGTTCCTCTGGACAGATGAAGCAAGGCGCGGTGAGCTGTGAGCTGATGGACGGTCGTGGTTCCTCGACGGCCTCCCGCGTGACGTCATCGATTGCACCCAAAAAAATGTGATACCCCCTGCTGTGAGCATTTTGTTTTTTATTTTAACACAACGAATCCATCCTTGCCACCGCTGGGGAAAGAGATTGGTGACACGAATGCAAGCTCTACGAACTGCTGCTGTTATGTAATTTACAGGCCACCATAATATCTACCACTCCCATAACGCCGTCGTGAAGTTCGAAATTTGGAAACTATTCTCAGTTCTATGTATATCAGGCGCGAGGAACGATACAAGTCTTTTTTTTATTTCGTTGTGGAGCGACCCCTTCCAATTACATCTACGCCCACGTCTTGCACGCGCGCCACACACAAATTTTTCACAAGCATCACAAGCTCCCAACTTTCCCGCCAACGCCGATAATCACGCCGCTGGTGGGCGCCCCCCCCTCGAACCCCAACCACAAGTCCCGCTCCTGGGCTTGTCGTCGTCGCTCAGCATGTGCTGAGTCTACACCAACGCTGGGGTTGGCCCCCAAAGGGCGGTCTGGTCGTAGACGGGTTGAGGAGGAGGAGGAGGAGGAGGGTTTGCGTTCGTTGATGTCTCTGCTGCTGCAGGAGGACGCTGCTCGCTACATCGACTCCGAGACCACGAATGTTTCTGCTGGCATGAAGGCGTCAGCGACGTGGGTCCCGGCGTCGTGGGGTGGGCAGCAGCAGGGCGCGGCCGCGGCGGCGGTAGCGCGTGATGGCGATGAGTTATTTTTCGGTGGTGGCAGCGGCAGCAGCAGCAGCGCGAGTGACGAGATGCAGCAGCAATACGGTAGTAGCAGCCGCGGCGGGGAGCTTCGACGAGTGGACAGCACCGTGATCGACGACTCGGACGAGGAGATGGAGCCCTTCGACGCGGAGCGCTTTGTCGACCGCCTGGTGGAGGACCCCGCTCCCACCGCGTGGGGGCGCGGGGGTTCGGGCGGGGGCGGCGGGCGCGTGTGGGAGGCGGCTGCTTCCTCGTCGTCATCAGGTTCCTCGCGCGGTGGTGGTGCGGCGAAACTCTTCCAGCCAGTTTTCAATTTTGACGAGCACCCGCCCTACTTGGTGGGCGACGGCGGCGGCTACGACGGCACGGACAACCACCACCACCGCCCGCAGCAGCAGCGGCAGCAGCAGCGGCAGCAGAGCCAGGACATGCCGATGATCGTGCCCCATGATCCCATCCTCGACGCTATCTTCACGCCGTGTCGGACGTTTCTGCCGTCGACCCATGATTATCATCATCCTGCCGAGGCTGCTCCCGTGGCGGTTACGTGTGGGTTGGTCAGAGTTCCATCTGGAGGTCGGTTTGGGGCCGGCAAGAAGAAGAACGAAATCGCCGCTTTTCGCCCCGAGCTCCTCTACAATATCCCGCCGCCGCCGCCGCCGCCGGAGGTGTCGTATGCCGCCCCCCTGCAGGTGCCGATGGCGCCCTTGCGGCAGCCGTCCGGCGGCCGCGGGCTTTATTCTTCTTCTCGCGGCCGAGTTATGATCCAGTCAGCAGAAGGTTCTCCGGCGGCAGCGGCGGCGCGCCATGTTGCCGCCGCCACGTACTTGAAGGAGGAGAATTCCAACAACATTCCTGTGGAATTTTCTCCCAGCGGCGGCGGCGGCGCGATGAACACGGCTGCTACTACTACCCCGCTCACGGGAGCCGACGCCCACTTCTCCCGCGAGTACGACGACGAGAGGCACGCTTTTCTCCGCCGGCAGGAGGCCGCGCTCGCCGCGGGGGCCCGGTACATCACGGGCGGGGTCATTCTTGAGCCCGCCGCTCGGTCGGCGGCGGTGGACTGGCTCTCGCGGTTGCACGCGGCCGCCCCCGCCGCCTCCGGCGGCAGCGAGCCCCTGTCGCTGGAGACGCTGTTCCTTGCGGTGAACTTGATGGACCGATTCCTGGCGACGCCTCAGGGAGCGAAGACCGTGTGGGGCGACGGCGGAGGAGGCGTGCTGCTGCTAGGGCCGGCGGTCAAGCTCGCGGGCGCGGCGTGCCTCGTGCTCGCCTCCAAGTACCAGGACACGCAGGCGGCCTCTCTCTGGGGCGTGGCGGCGGCTTCCATCTCCAGCAGCACGTCGTCGTCGCAGCCGCCGCTCCGTCTCGGGGGTGGCGCTGACAGCGGCGGCGGGGTCGGCGGCGGGATCGGCGGCGGAGGCGGGGGCGGCGACTTCTTCGGCGTCCTTGGAGCCGGAGACAGCCTCAGCCTCGGCGGCAGCGGCGGCAGCGGCAGCGGTGGCGGAGGCGGTAACGCAGACGTGCGCGCGGCGCGGAAGGAGCTGGCGGCGACTGAGATGCAGGTGGCCTCCGCGCTGGGCTTCCGCCTGACGGTGCCGACCTCCCTGTCCTTCCTCGGTGTCTTCCTCCGCCGGGCGGAGGGGCTGGGGTACGTGCTGGCCGACGGCCCCGGGCGGGAGCGGGTGCGCAGGGAGGCCGAGCAGATCCTGCTTTGCATGCTGCGGGAGTCCTGCTCGCTGGAGCACCCACCGTCGGCGCTGGCGGCCTCCGCTCTCTACTGGGCATCTTGCGTGACCACTCCGGGAGCGACCCCGCCGACGTCGTCCGCCTTCCTGGCGGTGACGGGCTACGAGCTGGAGCAGCTCTGCTGCTGCCTGAGGGACATGGAGACTGTGAGGACCGGGGGCGGGAGGCGGTACGACGGCGCGGGCTCCTTCGCCTCCGGCTCATCTCCGGCTGCGGCTGGTGCTGGCGGAGGGGGCGGGGGCGGAGGCGGGGGCGGCGGCGGCGGCGGCGGCGATTGGGCTGGCGCTGCGTTCCCGGAGCACGCCGGCAACTCGCTGTTCGGTGCTGGAGGCGGGCACCCCGCGATTGCGGCGCTGTAGGAGAGAAGTGGGGCGGCGGTGCCGACGCGTGCAGCAGCAGGAAGATCAGGGCACAGGAGGGCGCGCGGCATGACAGCCGACGAATCAATGGCTGTCGCCGGAAACCGCGTCGCGAGCGGAAAGGGGGCGCGGAGGGCGTCGGGGGGGGAGAAGGGACCAAAAATGCACACGAACAGAGTCAGGACGGAAGAGGCCGACTGACAGTGCAAGGCGTTCTTCACGGAGGGAGGGACCGGGGTGGAACAGGGAGGTTTCGGACTGAGCACGTCATGCGGGGTTGGAGGAGCGCGGCGTGAGCCAGGAGGAGGTGGGGGTTGGGTGTGTGTGTGTGTGCGGAGGGAGGGGTGTGGGGGACAAAAACAAAAAAAATGGCGCCGAACAATTTATAAAAAAAGGCGGAACAGTGCTGGCGCGATACAGGAAGGGCGCCGCGAAGGAGCGCAGCATTATCTCTCAAGGGCGTGGAGGTAGAAGGAAGGGTAGTTGCATATCCCGGCTGCGGTTCGCTTATGAGGTCAAAATGGATTGGGGGGCGGCGAGCGATGGAGCCGCAGGGAGGAGGCTTGCTGGCGTGTGTTCTCCGGCTGCAGATGCTCGGCAAGGGGCAACGCAGCGTGCGGCCGGGGGGCTTATTTTGAGAAATGGGGGTCGAGCTTTTGGCGTCACATAGCGGAAGGCTGCGCGATTTTTGGGGCCGGGGCCGAGCNNCCCTACAAAGCCGGGACGGAGCACGCCGGGTTCTCACCGGACCAGGCTCTGTGGGGGGGGGGCGCTACTAATTGTTTTGCATGTCGATGGAGAAACCTGAACCGGTGAAAGAGACGGAAAGGACGAGCGTGGTGGGGGTGGGATGGGGGGTAGGGACTCGGCAGCCTGGGCGGTGTTGTGCGAGCAAGGCGACGCGCGAGAGCTGGCGAGGGGGAGTTCCCGACAGGAGACCCGAAGAACTTCTCGAACGTGTCCGCGGCGTACGGGATCCGGCGCTCAACGCCGGTAGAGACGAAGAAAGGGGTGGGTAGATGACGAATTGAATGATGTACATGTGCTTGGCAATCGTTTTCTTTGCTTTTTTTTTATTTGGCCACGAAGGTGACAGGGGGGAGGGGGGGGGCTTCGCCTGCGTTTTTTTTTCATTCGCCGCTTTCGTAGACGCTGATTTGGGAACGAGAAAAACGGCCGCAAGGGGGCGCGGTGATGCTTTCTGTGCGCGGGTGCTGTTTGTCCTTGTGGGTGTTATTTTTGTCTTGTTTCATGTTTTGCGATGTTTTGTCTCTCATGGGGAAGGCACTGCAACCATGGCGTAAAAAAAATGTGTGGCGAGATTAGTGATGGATTGCTACAGATGAGGGTTGACTTGACC